AGGCACATTTAAAAAAACAGGTTTCTTTAATTTGGGCAGACATTGTGTTATGTCAAAATAATAACATTTTCCTATTTTATGTATGTTTTTCTATACAACTGTTGAAAGTCTAGAAAGATCAGTGCCAAAGAAATACTTGTCAAAAAAGGCGGAAGTAAGGTGAGAGACAGTAAGTATTATAATTATAGATTATAATAAGTGATATGAGGGAAACAATAGAAAGTAACATGGATGGGGAACATCTTAGGGTGGCCAAAGAAGGCTTCTCTGAGCAGGTGACATGTTAGCTGGGACCTGAGGATGAGAAGGAGGCCACTCTGAGTAAGATATTTCAGGCAGGGGTATTAATAGTTGTGAAGGCCTTGAGTCAAGAGAAAGTCTGGTATTCCTAGAACAGAAAAAGTCTAGCATGCCTAGAGAGTCATGAATGAAGAGTAAAATGGCAGATATTGAAGTGAGGAGGAGTAGGCAGGAATCAGATCACTAGGTTTGTTAAGAGGATTAAATACATACAAAGCATTTATTATAGTGCCTGGAACATAGTAAGCACCCAGTAACTGTTAGCAGCTATTATGATTTTTAATAAACTCTGTCATAATCAAATATTTGTCATTTTTCTGGTAAGGAGGGTTAGGAGACACAACACTGAAAGTTCAGGGGGCATGCAGTACTAGCTTTTGGTAAGATTTCTTCATAGGCAGTGGTATGTTCTTTCATCGGGATGCATGTAATGTTGGGTGATCTCTTGTGATGTTATCAGCCATTGCTGCTTACTTTATCCATTAACTCATTAAGGGTTTCAAAATGGAGATGTTCTAATTCTGTCATTTTTTCATCTATTAGCTGATGTACTTACATAAAAACTACTCTGCTAATAGTGACCAGTTTTTAAAAATATAATAAATTCATTAACTAAACATATTTGATGTATTTTATAGTGCTAACAAAAGTGGAGGACATCATTAAAACCACTATTACAGCTTCCCATAACACATCCTTTGGTACCACACTGCATGGTTCATTGATTTGATCCAGGAGAGCCCTATTCGTATTCTAGTTTTCTCTTGCATTACTGTCTGATAGTGATATTGTATGCAAAAGCATCTGTCTCAGTGTTAAAATGTAAATGTGACAGATAGTTTCCTCTGCCCGCTGACTTGAGGATTTCTTCTCTCCACAGATGGAACTTTCTGCTCTACAGTCCATGGTGGCTGTGCAAGAAGAAGAGCTGCAGGTGCAGGCTGCTGATATGGAGTCCCTGACCAGGAACATACAGATTAAAGAAGACCTCATAAAGGTATTTCAAAGCTTTTTAAAGACCACTGCAAATGTTTGCAGCTCAGAATACCTGTAGAGCATCTTCAAACCATACCCAAGTGTGGGTATGACATTGAGTCTCTTGGCCAGTCCTTATCAATATCCCATTTGAAAGTATAGCAGACTATTTCAAGAGCATTTTTTTCCCTTGCTCCTTTGCTGACTACTATTTTTATTACGATTTTTATAGTTATACTTATTTTTTGACCTCTAGGATCTGCAAATGCAACTGGTTGATCCTGAAGACATACCAGCCATGGAACGCCTGACCCAAGAAGTCTTACTTCTTCGGGAAAAAGTTGCTTCAGTAGAATCCCAGGGTCAAGAAATTTCAGGAAACCGAAGACAACAGGTAAGTTATTGGAATACAAACCTTATATTTTACTGTGAAGTAAACAGTGGAAAAGCTGTCAATCTCAGCTATTTATGAAGGGGTGAGTTGATGGAGTTTCATAGTGTGCTCTAAAGTTTCCTACTTTGGTCAGTAGCAGCCATAGATCCCCCTTTCTGACATTTGCAGTTCTGAAAAGAGCAACAGTTCTTTTTGGACACTCATTGTCAGTTATCCCTCACTCTCATACATAAAGTCTTTTTCCTCTCAACTGAATCTTTCTCAGCTGCCTGCATTTAACCATGTTCAAATCCTTCCCAATTAGAAATAGAAAAAGAAAAAGAAAGCTCCAGCCTTTGCCCCAAATTCCTTTGTAGCTACTACTCCGTGTCTAACCTTCCTTCAATGCCAAACTTTTCAAAAAGACTTATTTGCCTATATTCTCTGTCTCTGTTACCATCTCTGTCACTAACTACTCATCTTACTCCAATCTGGCTTTTAACTCTATCTTAAACGGATCTCTGCTGGTTAATACAACATTATAGCTCATTACCCTTGTAGCACTTACTACAGCATAGATGCCTCTATGATTTATGAATATCTTTTTCCCCTATTACATAATAAGCTTTCCCCTAGAACCTAGAACAAAGCCTGTCACTAGACTGTGCTCAGTATATATTTATTGAATGAAGAATACTATCGGGTCCTATTATGTATGTTTCCCCCTATGCCTGTCCTTTCTTTCTCTCACTCCTTTCTCTTAGCCTCTTTCCTATGCTTCTGGCTTCTCTCTCCCTTTTCTTTTTCTTGCTTCTATGTTTGAATTTCACCTTATAGGATTTTAAAGATAAAAATGAGAATGTGACATTGATTTGGAAAATGTAAAATACTATGAAAAGCTTAAGTAATAAGATAGTAGGTTTTTTTTAGTCATAGTACATGTTGCTGCCTATTTTTTTTTTTTTTGGTCTCTTTCTCAGGATTAACTGTGGCTTCATGTCTCACTTTGCCATTTGCATATTGCCTCCTCTCTCTTTCCTCAGTTGCTGCTGATGTTAGAAGGACTGGTAGATGAACGGAGTCGGCTCAATGAGGCCTTACAAGCAGAGAGACAGCTCTATAGCAGTCTGGTCAAGTTCCATGCCCATCCAGAGAGGTAAGAGAGTGACTGTTTTTCCTTTTTTACTTTTTAAAATTTTTATTCCTTTTATTTTTCATTAAGTGCAGATGCTTATGATACTGAAGAGGGGAGAGAAGAAAGCACACACCATTACTGGGGCGACCCACTTTGTCATTAGTCGTGTGAATTGCTCTGAGCCTTGGTGTTAAAATGTTAAGTCAGGAATCATGTCTATTTTTCATAACTATTACGAATTTTAAGTGAAAAAATAGGTTAGGTGTCTAAAACAATGCCTTATAAATAGTAAGCACTCAGTGTATATTTCTTTCCTTTTCTCCATGTCCTGTTATAAAAGTAAGGCTATGAAGGGCACTGATATTCATTTACTATCAATAAATATCAATGAAGAAAATATATTAATTGTGATGGCTAGTATCATCCCAGGATCACTGATAAAAACTTTCATGACAAATATATTTTCTTGATTTTCAGTCATGTACATGAATCTCTCGGTTCATTTTATGTTCCTTCGTTTTCTTTTCCTCATTTTGCCTTCCCTCCTAGCCCTTTTTACTTTTTCCCAATTTTCATTTTTTACTATTTGGTTTCTTCTAATTTATTGTTGTGTTTTAAAATGTTTTCTTTGTACTTCAGGAAAATGAAGGAAGAGGAAGGGTATGATAGGACCACTTGAATGTATTACTTTTTAAAGAACCTCTGGATCTCTAGTCCTTAGGAACTGGATTCCTTTTCAGAGCACTATCAGGTTTAGTAAAAAATGAGAAAACAAATATCTTCAATGGCAATTCTACTTGATTCTGTCTATCTTCAATGTACGTGTAGGTTTTTTATGGGTTTTGCTTTTTCAGAAACCAGAGCTCTTAGTCAAATAATGAAATTTCTCTTATGTGGGCTATAGGGGTATGCGGTGAATCATAGGAATCATGGTTTTATGTGAGATTGGCCCAGAATCTAGCATAAAGAGACAAGCTTTAAAAAAAGAAGCAGGCCTTGCTCATCTACCAGCAGTGAACACAAGTGCCACGACAAAGACTACAATCATTTATTGTGTCCTGGAGAACAATTACTTTAGAAAGTCGCGTGGCTCAAAGTGACATTGATGGCTCTTTGGAAGCAAATGTGGACTCATTACAGTTGATGGCTAATCCATTTTCCTTCTGTATGGCATGTTTAATCAGCTCTGAGAGAGACCGAACTCTACAGGTGGAACTAGAAGGGGCCCAGGTGTTACGCAGTCGGCTAGAAGAAGTTCTTGGAAGAAGCCTGGAGCGCTTAAGCAGGCTGGAGACCCTGGCCGCCATTGGAGGTGGGGAACTGGAAAGTGTGCGAGTTCGTCACAAGCATGCCTTCTGAGCACTGGCGGGTCAGACTGCAGCCCAGGATGGAAAACCTTGTTTACACTAACCAGAGAAAGCCTTGGCTGACTTTGGCAGAATTAAATGGTGATTTACTAATGATAGAACTGGTACAAGTAGCATCAAACACAACGTGAAACTCACTTTAGCCTATGTGTACATATCTATCTCTAAATTGAATGGTGGAGGTTACAAAGTGTATTTGCACATTTTAAATCATTCCATTTTAGTTTTTCCATTCTTATTCATTGCTTTCCTGAGCCTTCCTTCTCATTGCCTCATCCCTCCTATGGGCCAATAAAGTTTATTCCTCCCCCTACTTTCACAATCCATTTCATATGTTCCATATCATGTCATAAATGCATGCGTGTGTATTATTGTTGCCATTCAATCAACTTCTTCCAGAGCGTTTTTTAATCAAATAAAAGAATTAAAATTTCAAGATGAGAGAGAGAAAGAGATTGAGAGTCTTGTCAGAAGGTAATCAAAACCAGGAGAGTAGTCTTGTAATAGTAGACTACAAGTATGGGGAATGCCAAGTTGAAGAACAGAGGCAAAGACTACTAAAGTGTATAGTAAACTTCTACCTCTAATATTGTTTCAGAGTTGACTATTGAACGATTGGCGAAATCAGATTAGGTAAAGATTAAACTCTATTTAAAATTTTTTTCTTTGTTGGTCCCTTTCGGTTTCTTTAAACCAAGGCCATGCTATTTAGTCAGAACATGACTTCACTAAAGGTCTTCCAGAGTCAGAATTCTCTGTGTACAAAGAAAATTTCAAATTAGTGTCTTCCTTTATATTTGGTATTTCACCAAATAACTAACTCCTTGTAGCCAGAGGAGAGCATTGCTTCTATACTTCCATTTAGTAGTGACACTAGACAGAGTCCTGTATTGTTCACTATTTAGTGTATGTATATTTTCCATATAAAAATAAATAGTAGGCTTCAGGCTTTGAAGCTTGAATAGTTTAGAAAGGTCACAGATCTGTGTTCAGAGGTTTTAGTCACTGTCTCAATGCTTTCTTGTGGCAACATGACAGGTATAAGAAAAGGGGCACTGGAGATTGTATTTCTGGTGTCTTAAATGTCAGGAGTATGAAAAGTGACCAAGATTACTCTGGAGCTTTGTGAGCTCAACATCATAAGTTTTTATTTCTGCTGGATATGAATTTCCTAGATTAGAAGCTGAGATTTTAGTTACTTTAAACATAGAACCTAGGGATTGGGGATTGAGGCTTTATAGCACCATAAATGTGCTGAATACCCTTTCTAAACTAAGTGGGACATAATTTTTCTTTTTCCTTCCATTTTTTTACATGGCACTTTGTTTCTTTCACATTCACGTGTTGGCATTCTAAATTCCATCCAAGGTTCTGGAACTTTAACTGTGTCTATAACGGAGAAAGCATCAGTCAAACTAAAGTGGACAGGGAGAAGATGTTCTACTGGAGAAGCACCCTGGAATCTTCTGATTAAGTAGTTTACAAAAGATTGATAGCCATAACCCGTCCTCTTACTGGATATGCTTTTCCAGTTGTAATGAATTTTAGGAGAAAAAGGAGTCATTTGAGGAAGGAAATCAGGTGTGTAAGGAGAACCATCCACTTTTGTCTCCCAATTTTAAGAGACACTTTCTTGCACAAAACGTTCTGTCAATTTCCAGAAGTAAAGAGGAGGTTAATGGAGCTGTAGAAATGTCAACCCATCAAAGACTAATCCGTTGTGTCATTACAACAAGGCATTTAGTTAATGTCTTTCCTTAATTTTACTAATAGACCAAGGAAACTTCTAAGTCTGCTGTTAAGATTCAACCATGGGTGATTCTTGGGTTCTAATGGTTCATAGAGATTATAGTAATTTATGTTAATAATCACTCCTGCTTCTGTCAACCTCTGACAAGAGTAGATTGATAGAAGGATAAATTAAGAGTTTGATCTTGACACCATATGTGACTAAAATCCCATGCTAACTTTCTGGTCTGGGTAGGTGGTATGAGGTTTGCAAGCAGTGCTACCTGAAGAGGCTTTGATGGTCTAACAGTTTTATGTGTGAATTTGGCATCTGACTAGAGAACATGATTCTGAAAAATTCTGTCTGTAACCCACACATAAATGGTGCTGTGATTGGGTATATCATTTATGTAATTATACTTAACATAATATATGATTCCATTTTCTCTTCAGGAGAAACTCTCTTAATGGATCATTCTACCTTCGTCAGGCATTTTCAACATTACAATAGTTTTAAATAAAGCACCATGTTCTTATAGAACGTTAAGCTTGAATTTAAAAATCTTAAAGGAAGAATAATGAAGTAAATTTTTATTTAGATCATGCTTAATTGGAAGCATAGAACTTAAATTTAGAAAAATCCATATTGAAATATTTTTTTTCTCACATTTTCTTTTTGAATAATAGCAAACCTGCAGAGTAATGGTTATAGGAGGTCAGGGTAGATGAAATGTATAGTTTTTAGAACTATAGAGTTGAAAAGAACCTCCAAGAAGACTTATTTAATGAATGACGTGGAAGTCCTTACGACTCTTTTTTATTGCAAATTTAAACTATATTACTGAAATCTGATGATTGTTAGTGCCTAGTATAAATATTTGTTTGATGTTCTCTTTTTAGATATCTAGCCAAGTTGTAACGGTTTTGAAAAGGCATGGTTGGGCTGTTTTAGTATGTTAGTCTTTTGCTTTGATAGGGTGTACTCTTCTTCATTCCCCTCCCCCTCTCCCTCTCTCTCTCTCTCTCTCTGATAGGGTGTACTCTTCTTCATTCCCCTCCCCCTCCCCCTCCTCCACACCCACTTATCTTCATTCAGTTGTGGACAGTAGCAATATTTTTAGTATCTCTACTTCTTAGGGAAAGAACATTTTTCCTTGTTCATATTTTTAAAAGATTTTTCAATTGCATTATATATAGTAAGAGATCTATCAAGGATCAAGAAAATCTTTATATATTAGCTCCTAGCCACAAGAAGTAGTTTTCTTAGAATGTTCTTTAGCATATTCTTCCTACATGGTTGATATATAAGTGACCTCCTTGGCAGATATACATAAAAGACCAATCATTTTATGCTTTTTTATGCTCTTAATTCAGTATCTGGGTCATGAGAAGTTTGAGTCATAGTTTCAAAACAGTTCAAGAAATCTGATTTTGGTTCTTTTCTACTTTGATCTTCCAGTTGGATCTGGAGTCTTCTGATTAGGGAGAAGAGGAGAAGATCACATTGCATTGAAAATTGTTCCTTTCATTGAGAAATAAATGTTGACCTACCTAAAGTCACTTTCCTTTGGACTCTAAGCCTCAGAGAGACCAATACCTTTGCTTTCCTTGAGCTAGTATTAGAAAACTCTATTAATAGTTCCCATTATTAGGATAAAGTCATTGTTTTGTGGTTTCATAGTCTTTTTGTATGAAAGAGGCACAGAATCTTCACATTTGATATCCCTGAAAAACTCAAGTTGCCTCTTTTTCAACTAGGGCCTCATGTAGTATTCTGCAGGCCTACAGCCACTGGTCTGCAAGGAAAAATGACAAACTTCCTATGGAGTTAGGAAGAAATATTAGTAACCCACACACTTAAAAGTCCATCTTCCATCTTGCTCTGTAGAAATTATACTAGAGATAGAATAAATGAAATTAGTTTTCTTTTTCAGACACATCCTGTGAGATGCAAGCACATAGAATATTTTCTCTCATTACTCTTAGGGTTAAAGCTTAGAGAGCTTCTCTTCTCCCTTTGGTAGTATAACCATTTGTACTGTAGAAAGAACACCTGGAAATATGGAGCTCATATGTGGTAGCCCAATAATAAAAAAACAGAAGAAATGAGCCAGTAAGATAAGATATTGGATTGATTTTTATAGGATATCCTTTCTGAGTCTTAATGTATTTTAGAATATGGATTTAAGCTACTGTCTGGCCATTTGCAGCAATACCTTCATTAAAACAGTTTATTATGATTAGAAAACAAGCATGTTGCTTTTAAGTAGTGTGAGTATTGGCAGAAGGTAAGTCCTCAACTTCTTTTTATATAATCATATAGCCAGGATGAGTTTCCTAAATAAAAAAATTAGTGTTGTAATTTGCTTTCAATAAAAACTGGGAAATGGAAGGGAAACACAACACTGTAGAGCTGACAATACTAATTTTACCAGATTTCAAATAAGAATAATTAAACTTATAAAGTGATGTACTAATTATTTTTGTGTTACTTTCCCTTTTTGTTTAAAGTCAAATTCCAGAAGTAAAAATCTTTATCATACTATTTTTTTCTTGTAAAAGTTGGAAGGACAAAATAGAAAGTTCAGCAACATCAGAAAATGTTTGGTCTAAAATAACGTGAAGAGTAGAGATGTTAAATACATGAACTAAATTGGCTTCCTTTTTCCCTTGGAGAACTTAAAATTGTCTAGCATTTACTTGTAGGTTTGCTTTTAGTATATAATGCGAATATGCAGTGCTGCTTTTTGCAATCAGCAAAATCATTGCTCTAAGATATTAACCTCTCAATCTATAAACTTTAGAGGTATGTGTATATACAAGTATGTTTTATAAATCATGAATTACTGTGTCCATGAGGTCTTATTAGTTTGATAATAAAAGCGGTTTTACTTGCTTTTATTACTTAAAATTTTGTAGGCTGTTGAAAAAAATTAAAGTGATTCATAACAATTTCAAATGAAGAATGAAGTGACATGTTAAATGATCAGAACTTGGCATTGCATTATTTCCAGGACTATTTCCCCACCAAAATAAGCTGTATATTTTTCTCTGGAAGTTCATTTCTTTATGGCACTGTGCTGTTAAACTGTGTTAACATTTGTGCTGAAATGGAGAGTGTACTTTTTTATATATAAGTGTCAGAATTTCAGCTACTTTAGTTAAGGCACAAAAAATTGTTTCTGATCTAATAAAAGTATCGAAGGCCAACAGAAAC